CTTCATCAAATTTAAATATTTTCCTTTAATTTTAGTTATTAAATGAATCTAATTTTTTAAACTAATTCTATTAAAACGATGATTCTTCATCACTCTTCTCATGACATAGAAATTTAATTTATTACATCCCTTTTATTACTTATTGATCATTTAATAGTTCCATTTCTTTCTTTTTATTATAGTTATATCCAAGCTCTTCTTAAATAAATTTGTTTTGATCAAAACTTTCTTATTTTTTTATTTCATTCATTTACTCATTTTTTTAATTCAGTTTAACATTTTCAAAGTTTGTTTCCTTTTATTTCTGTTTTTTCTTTAAGTTTTATTTTTTGATGGTCTTATATTTACTAAACTTTGATTCTAAATTGAAATCTTATTATTCATTTTATTTTTACTATTTTTCACTACCTCCTAATAATTTATTACTTGTTTAATTATTCAAGATTGTATTTTGTTTTTACAAATATTTTTTATTGAATAGCTTTTAATTTTAGAGTAATTTATTTTTTAATTTATTGTTCAAACATTACGATATACTGAAGCAGGAATCTTATCTCTTAATTTGAATCAATTAAATTTCTTTATTTAACTGTTTTTTCGTTTATTATAATTCAAAAATAATATTTTATCCTTTTTAGAATTATGCTATTTATTTCCTAAATTAGTTAGATTAATTGATAGCATTTTCTCTTTTTGTATAAAAAATAAATAAAATTGTAAAAAAAAAAAAAATTAATTAGCATTTTAAATTAATTTTAGTAAATGTAATTAGATTAGTTGATAATTATTTAAAGAATATCAAATAAATAATATTATCAAAATTATAAATGGAGTATTAGTAATTTAAATTAATTTAATTTTTCCTTAAATTTAAAATAATTTACCTAAATAAATCAAGATAAGTGGTTTAAAGTTTTTCTTTCGTTTTTTTGAAAGTTTAAATCCTATGTCGTTATAACCAATTAGCCTTTTAAAATATTTATTATGACTTGTATTATTAAAATAATTAATTTACATGTTTTTTTTGATTATCAGCATCCTTATTTTTCTGTAAACAAGCTACAGAACAAATGTTAAATTTATCTATGAGAAATTAAAAATAATTTTATTAGTTAGTTGTAGTAATTTTATATTTTAAATTTTAATTTTAATTTATTTGTTGGAATATGCCAATCAAAATTTAGTGGTTAAGATTCACTAAAAACTTAATTGAAATATAATAAAATAATAAATAAATTAGAAAAAATTTTATAATAGATTTAATATAAATTAACACAGTTATTTATTTTAATTTTAATTATTGATGAGAATTATATGTCTGTAAATTTAGCTTTTTTTGTGAATTTAAGAAATGAAAATTTCAAAATTGGAGGGTAAATTATTTATTTTAGTTTAATTTCTAAGATTTTCTCAAAAAATAATATCTTTTTAGTAGTTAAAAAATTAAAAAATATTATTTTTTTTTACCTTCGTTTTAAAGGATATTATTAAATTATTATCCATTTCCAATTTAATCTTAAGAAAGTATTTTGTCCTCTATAAGTTTGATACATTTTTCATTCAGAATATTTTAGGTAGAAGAATCAAACATCAGCTATTTATAAAGAATAAATAATATTTTTAATTCAAGAATATTTTAATTTTTGAAAAATTTATTTGTTTATTTCTTATGTTTTTGTTAAATAAATACTTAAAAAAAATAACATAAGTTAAAATTAAATCTTTAAAAGCGCGATTGCTATTAAAGCCCCTCAAAATATTTTATTAGTTAATATATTTAATAATAAGCTGTATAGTTTAAAGTAAATGAAAAAAATTTATTTTTTTGTTAGCTTTTTAACAATTAAATTAATATGTAGTCAGATAAAGTACCATTGCAAATCTAAAATTTTTCTATTTTTGACTGTAAAGGTTAATAAATTTGGAAAGAAAGTACCTCTTTAGCATAAAAGCTTTCAAAGACTATTTCCTTCAAATATACAAGGTTAAATGAATTCTAAATTAGTTCAAATAATAGATCTAATTCTATTTCTATAAATTAAAAGGGTATCTTCAATTCTGTTTATTTACTCAAAAAGATGAGTTAGGCTTCCTATTTAATTTAAATTGATTCATTCTTCATTAATAAAATTATATTAATAAATATAGAAATTAATAGTAAAAAAGTAAAAAAATCATAATTTATCATTTTTAAAAGAAACTAATTTTTTAGGACAAAATCAATTTGACTTGACATTCATGTCCTTACTCATTAGCTTTTCTTAAAATTTATATTATTTAAAAACAAACTAATCAGTTAGTTATGCATTAAATAGAAATAAAATAAAAAAAATATTTTTTTAAATTTGATTATTTTTCTCTTTTTCTTTGGTTTTAAAATTAAAAGATTCATTTAATAATTCTAAAGGGACATTTAAGCCTTATTAAAAGACTAACAAAAAGCAAATGTTGTGCATTAATTTATGGTAAATAAATTAGTAAAAAGTAAAAATAAAATTCATAAATTACTCTAGAAAGATTTTAGTTACATAAAAAAACCATGCTTTTTAAATGATTCATTTTGATCAAATTTTTTAATTCCTTTTTATTGCTCATCATGGAGTGACTCTTAGAATTTATTTCTACATTATGATAGCTAAATATATTTTATTAACTAAATCTCTAATTTTTAAGATATAAATCAATGCTAAATCCTTTGTTAAGAGCAAATTCAGTAACTTCTTACTTATTTCTTACTTAATTATATATTTGCTGCCTTAAAGTCTAAACTTGAACAGCGATATCTTACATTTTTGACACTTTTAAGCATATTATCATATTCTGATTTTAATAAATCATTTCCTTTTACGATATTTTTTGAATCTATTTATCTTCTTAAAAGATTTAGAAGATGGAAATTTTATTTCTTTGCTTTTCTTCTATTTGTAAATTTCGCTATCTATGAATTATCTTTTCTTTTGGGTTTCTGTTTGGGTGTTTCAAAAGTTTTAGAGTTAATTCGTTGGCTGCTATTATTTGCTTTTATAATTAATACTAAGTTTTGAATTTAAATTAATTAATGTAAAGCTTTATTCCTTCTATTAAGAAAACAAATATATCTATTTAATTAAATGTTATATAAAATTAATTCATTTCTTTTAGAAATTAACAAATTGGTTATCTAAAAATTATCTTTTCTTTTTCTTCTAATTTTTTTAGAGATGATTTATTGGATATTATTTACTATCAAAATTAACACAAGTTTTTAATTGAAATTTATTAATGTAGGACCTTAACACTTCTATTAATAAAATAATATATTTAATTAAATGGCATTAATAAGTATGCATTTAAAAATTGTGAAATAATATGTTGTTATCATTTTTTTATTCAATAAATAAGATTTTAAATATTTTCTCTCTATTTTAATATTTTTAATGAATATTTATTATCCTGATTGAAATACTTAGATATAAATAAAAGCAATTAAGCTTTTTAAAAAAGTATAATTCTAAAGTTATATGTATATAAATTTATTTTTTTTAAATTTTATTTTTAGAAATATTTATTCTTTAATCCAATAATTATGTGATTTAAAATAATGATTAAGAGAAATAATATAATTTAATAGCGAAAACAAATTATGTTTTTATAAGTTTTAAGTAATATTTTTTAAAAGTAAAAATAACAAATGACATGAAACTTGAATCTTTAATTATAGGAAATATAAAATTGTATTTGATTAACATCAAATATTAATTAAGATAATTAAAATTATGATTTCAGTATACTCAATATTTAAACATTGATAAACTTCAAATTTAGTTAATCATAAGTTTAAAAAAAAAATAGAATTTTATAAAACAAAAATTTATTTATTTATTTTTAATTAATTTGAAAAAAGTCTATATTAGCTTTTAAAAAATTAATAATTATTGAGTTGCGGTTCCATAGTATAGCGGTTAGTACTGGGGACTTTAAATCCCTTGACCTGGGTTCGAATCCCAGTGGGACCTAAATTTTTATGTTTTATTTATTTATTTATCTAAATTTTTAATTAATTATTTTTATTTTTAGTTTAATTTTTCTACTCATTACTATTTTATATAGCACAACAGCTCTATTAGGATTATATAATATGTAATATGAGCTCTAAAATAAAATATATGGGCAACTCCTATAAATATAAAAGTATTGACATATTAACTACTAGAATTTTTTCAAATATAACTAAATGAATAACTCACCATCTATAATTCCTACTATATATTTTTTAAGTATAAGTTTTAAATATAAATATTCAGTTTAAATAATGAATATTAAATAATTTTACTGTGATATCTATCTCTTCATAAAACCAAATATATAAATTAATTTATTTGTTCTTTTTATCTATTTATAATTAATTAAATTTCATATTTTTGAAAAAATAAATAAATGATGTAAAAGATTAAAAGATATAATAGATTAGATAAAGTAATTATTAATTTTTTTATTAATATCCTTTAAATTTATATAAATTAATAAAAAAAGTTTAAAAGGTCTTCTCTTTTATCTCATTAGATTCTCCATATTAATCGCAGGTATATTTTATTAATAAATATTATTTTTATTATTATTAATATTTTTTTTATATTTAAATTTCTATTTATTTAAATAAATAATTTTTATTGTAGAAATTATCATCATTATTTATTGATTGGTTTTTTTTCATTATTTGTTAATTTTATTAATTGTTAATAAATCTTATTATTTCATATTTTTTCTTCATTTTTTTCTTATAATTAACTAGAGTACAATGCCTATTTAATTTATAAAAGGCAAAATATAATATTTCTTAATAACATAATAATAAAGCTAAATTAGCTTAAAATAGCTTTATTTTTGAGTTTTTAGAAAGCTTTAAATTCACAAAATGTAAAATTTGAAATAATATATACATACCGTATATTCTTATAACTTATCATTTTTTTTTTTTTAAATAAATTTTGAAAAATTTACGAAAATTTTAATTTTATAAAATGTAAAACTGGTATATAAAACTCACTTTTTGAAAATTTGTATGGCAACTTACTCTATTTAATGATTTATTTATTCTTCAATATTTAAAAAGGAGGAATAAAATTGGTAATGAAGGTGCATCAGGCTTAGGTTCTGCTTTAGCAAAGTGCATTAATCTCTCAAATTTGACACTTGATCTTGGGTAAAAACAGTTTATTTGTTTTGGATTGTGATATTTTTAATTATAAAAACTAATTAAAAACACTAAAGTTCTTTTTTCTTTTTCATTTTATTGTGCTTGCTTTTTTTTGTTCTTTCTTTCTTTGTTAATTTAGCACATCATTTTATTTTCAACTTTTGCTTTTATTGTTAATTAATCTTATTATTTCATATTTTTTCTTCATTTTTTCCTTCTAATTAACTATTTAATGATACATTTTTTCTTCAATATTTAAATAGTGTAAATTAAATTGGTGATGAAGGTGCATCAGGCTTAGGTTCTGCTTTAGCAAAGTGCATTAATCTCTCAAATTTGACACTTGACCTTAGGTAAAAACAATTTATTTGTATTGGATTATGATATTTTTAATTATAAAAACTAATTAAAAATAATAAAGCTCTTTTTTCTTTTTCTTTTTATTGTGCTTGCTTTTTTTTGTTCTTTCTTTCTTTGTTGATTTAGCTCATCATTTTATTTTAAACTTTTGCTTTTATTGTTAATTAATCTTATTATTTCATATTTTTTCTTCATTTTTTCCTTCTAATTAACTATTTAATGATTTATGTTTTCTTCAATATTTAAAAAGTCTCAATAAAATTGGTGATAAAGGTGCATCAGGCTTAGGTTCAGCTTTAGCAAAGTGCATTAATCTCTCAAATTTGACACTTGACCTTTGGTAAAAACAGTTTATTTGTTTTGGATTATGATATTTTTAATTATAAAAACTAATTAAAAATAATAAAGCTCTTTTTTCTTTTTCTTTTTATTGTGCTTGCTTTTTTTTGTTCTTTCTTTCTTTGTTGATTTAGCTCATCATTTTATTTTCAACTTTTGCTTTTATTGTTAATTAATCTTATTATTTCATATTTTTTCTTCATTTTTTCCTTCTAATTAACTATTTAATGATATATTTTTTCTTCAATATTTAAAAAGTGACAATAAAATTAGTGATGAAGATGCATCAGGCTTAGGTTCTGCTTTAGCAAAGTGCATTAATCTATCAAATTTGACACTTAAACTTGGGTAAAAACAGTTTATTTGTTTTGGATTGTGATATTTTTAATTATAAAAACTAGGGATCGACCGTATATACGGTAAAACCTTATTATACGGCCGTACCGTATAAATTTCATGATACGGTATACGGCTTAATAATTTATAAATTGACTACCGTATTATATAGTTATATGGCCGAATGATTAAAATGGTCATACGGTCGATCCCTAAAAAAAATTAATTAAAAACAATAAAGCTCTTTTTTCTTTTTCTTTTTATTGTGCTTGCTTTTTTTTGTTCTTTTCTTTGTTGATTTAGCTCATCATTTTATTTTCAGCGTTTGCTTTTATTGCTAATTAATCTTATTATTTCATATTTTTTCTTCATTTTTTCCTTCTAATTAACTATTTAATGATATATTTTTTCTTCAATATTTAAAAAGTAGAAATTAAATTGGTGTAATCAGTGCATCAGGCTTAGGTTCAGCTTTAGCAAAGTGCATTAATCTCTCAAATTTGACACTTGACCTTAGGTAAAAACAGTTTATTTGTTTTGGATTGTGATATTTTTAATTATAAAAACTAATTAAAAACACTAAAGTTCTTTTTTCTTTTTCATTTTATTGAGCTTGCTTTTTTTTTAACTTTCTTTCTTTGTTGATTTAGCTCATCATTTTATTTTCAACTTTTGCTTTTATTGTTAATTAATCTTATAATTTCATATTTTTTCTTCATTTTTTCCTTCTAATTAACTATTTAATGATCTATTTTTTCTTCAATATTTAAAAAGGTGGAATTAAATTGGTGCAATCGGTGCATCAGGCTTAGGTTCTGCTTTAGCAAAGTGCATTAATCTCTCAAATTTCACACATATCCTTAGGTAAAAACAGTTTATTTGTTTTGAATTGTGATATTTTTAATTATAAAAACTAATTAAAAACAATAAAGCTCTTTTTTATTTTTCTTTTTATTGTGCTTGCTTTTTTTTGTTCTTTCTTTCTTTGTTAATTTAGCACATCATTTTATTTTCAACTTTTGCTTTTATTGTTAATTAATCTTATTATTTCATATTTTTTCTTCATTTTTTCCTTCTAATTAACTATTTAATGATACATTTTTTCTTCAATATTTAAAAAGGTCTAATAAAATTGGTGATGAAGGTGCATCAGGCTTAGGTTCTGCTTTAGCAAAGTGCATTAATCTCTCAAATTTGACACTTGACCTTAGGTAAAAACAGTTTATTTGTTTTGGATTGTAATATTTTTTATTATAAAAACTAATTAAAAATAATAAAGCTCTTTTTTCTTTTTCTTTTTATTGTGATTGCTTTTTTTTTAACTTTCTTTATTTGTTAATTTAGCTCATCATTTTATTTTCAACTTTTGCTTTTATTGTTAATTAATCTTATTATTTCATATTTTTTCTTCATTTTTTCCTTCTAATTAACTATTTAATGATTTATGTTTTCTTCAATATTTAAAAAGTCTCAATGAAATTGGTGATTAAGGTGCATCAGGCTTAGGTTCTGCTTTAGCAAAGTGCATTAATCTCTCAAATTTGACACTTGACCTTAGGTAAAAATAGTTTATTTGTTTTGGATTGTAATATTTTTTATTATAAAAACTAATTAAAAATAATAAAGCTCTTTTTTCTTTTTCTTTTTATTGTGATTGCTTTTTTTTTAACTTTCTTTATTTGTTAATTTAGCTCATCATTTTATTTTCAACTTTTGCTTTTATTGTTAATTAATCTTATTATTTCATATTTTTTCTTCATTTTTTC